GTTGACTTTAGTGGTGTTTTGTGAAATTAGATTTCAAATTAAAGCAAAGATCTATTTAATTTTTTTTAAAAACTTCCAGGGGCATTTACAGTTTTTGTTAATTTAACCAGATCATAGCACATTGTAGAGAGATTTTTAAAAAAAATATTGCTATTCAAAATGTTTGAGGCCCTGATCTTTCAAGTACTGACATGCACAAACAATCCCATTTGTTCCAATGGAACTACTGCAATTACTCCTGCATGTAAGTATTTGCAGGATTGGGGCCTGGGTTATTGCCTACCTTGCAGAAGTTTTGTGAGACTTGATGATGCTGAGTTTGCAAGAGCAATGGGACTGCTCATGTGCATAAAGTTATTAAAGTGTGTAAGTGTTTTCAGGGTTAGGGCCAATGTTTGTAAAGTGCAAATGATAATTGTTAATATTTTATTCTGAAAAATTCTTTAACCAGCTTGAAGTGCTATAGACTTTGAAAGCAGGTTTCTGGCTCTTGTTTGGAGAATGAGATCAGAACAACAACATCAAGGTAGAGGCAAAGTCTGAAAAAGGGTCTCTTTCCAGCCTTTTCCTTATTTTTAGTGCTGATCCAACATCTGTTCCCGTGGAAACTGTAACTATAAGCCAGTAGCTGAGAGCAGCAGTTCTTGTTAGTTTCAGTTGCTGGCTTTCAGTTCCTGTTTATGCCCAGATTTCCATAGAAATGGCCATTGGAAGGTGAAGACAAGGAAAGGTAAGGATTATAAAATACAGCTTTTGAAAGCTTGATCTTGAGAGAAGAATGCTTGGTACAAGGATTATAACTGTGGTTAAAATCAGAACTCCCGAATGCTATTTCTGACTCTGTAACAAACTTGTTGCTTGACCTTGGTCAAGCCACTTAACCTGCGTTTGTCTCAGATTCTCCAGCGGTACAATGAATCAAATACTTAAACCTAACTCCTGGCAGTGTTCTGAAATGTATTGAAGGCTTGGAGTTCCATAGCAAGAGCTGCTATAGAACTGCAAAGGATTATTTCCATTGCTTCAAGTTGTTCTACAGAAACGGTGTGAGGAAAACTGCTGCTAGACGGTGGGCAACCAGCAGCAGAGAAGGAAATCCTAGGGTTCAGCTCCTGGCTGCCTGCTGAGATCTGCACGTCCTACTTTCAAAATTCAGCCACTGGCTTTCAGTGGAAGTTGTGCTTAGAGGTTGCAGGATCAAGCCATTTACAAACCAAAAGGGTTTTAAATAGTACCTAACCTCAGTGGAAAAGCCCAAAAATGTATCTAATCCTACTGATCCAGGACTGTTCCCTAGAGTGGTTTTCTAGTCTGTTGTCTAAATGAAATATTAAGTTTTGCATTAAACTGGGTGAATGTGCTAAGTTAAGGGAGGACTTGCTGGCTGAATTGTGACCTGGTGGTTGTCTGGATACATGCACAGCCTGACTTCTGACTAGCCAATTAGATTTCTTCTGCTGCCAGGCTGTGAAGTCCCCATTTTCATTAAACCCCTTCTAAAGCATGGAACCGCCCTGCCCTCAATAAGTGATCAGGTTATTATTAGATTGCTCAGTTTGAACAAATTTGGCGATGTTTTAATAGCTTTGGAGATAATAAAAGACTTCTAAAATGTGCTTCATAGCATATAACAAATGCCAGTGTGGCGGAGGGCTCTATGTCAGCTGGCATGACATGTCATGAAGTAGGATCTGGCTAGTGCAGCTTTGGGGGACTGGAAATGGAACAGGGCAAGGCCAGGGAAGACCAGGATGAAACTATTCGTGCTGAATGTCGGTTACCAGTGCTGTCTGGGACATTCTACACATAAAACTACATTTAGGTAGCTTTTGATCGGAGCATTTGCAGGTGACCTGGGTCGAACTTGCAAATATAACAAACTTAAAATATAAATTAATATTTTTCACAGTTCATCCCTTTCCCCATTTTTGAAGATGTTTAGTGGAGATGAAGGTTGGCTCCCTCCCAGCCCAGCATGCCCCTACTTGGGCTTGCAGTGAAGTCAGAATGCTGAATCTATCACATCATTCTAATTCCCCTGGTAACCAAGTGATGTCACAAACATCGGCCTCTGATTCACTGCAGCATCCACCAGCAGAAGTTGGGCAGTCAGGGAGAAAGCTTTTATTCTACAACAGAAGTCTGCAAAAATGGCAAAGAAATGGGGCAGAGGGTAACGGGCTCAAGCATTTAGCCTGAAGACACGATCTTTTTGTTGAAGTTTTCCCCAGTGTGATGTCACTTTAAATTTAAAAAAAGCTAGTTTCTAAAGAGAGAGCCCCCCACTTAGAGTAACCCTGGTTCAGAAACAGGATCTGTTGTCCCACCCTGCCACTGCTGCTGTTCTTGTTTGCTTCAACTGACATTCCTAACGTGGGTGGGGAAACTGTCCATTCTCTGCATGATGTCAGTATCCCTCTGTCCTGCAGGCAAGTGCCAGGGGCTAAAGTAAGGAGGAGGATCTACTCTGATAAAAGCAAGAGAGAGATCTCACTCCTCCTTGCCCTGACATGGAGGAGTCCCTCACAGTCCTCCCTCCTCTGTGGTTGGCACTGAGAGCTCCCACTCCTGTTTCCATCTACTTTAATAATATTTGTAGGGAATAAATAGATACTGGCACTCTCCACCTGGAGCTTCCTACATGCACTTAAAAAAACCAGAAACCCTCCTTTCCTCTTCACCTGCTACCTACACTGTCTGCTGAGCCTCTGGAGTCAAGCCATCCCTGGAAGGATGACCATTGGAAGGGGCTGAGTGCAAATGACTGGCATCAGGAGTCAGTAGTGCATACTGAAAGCCATCTCCGTCTACCAGCTGTGCTCCCAAAGTATATGCCAACACTTGCCATAAAATACTGCTCCATACTCGCCAGGCTTTTGTTTTTGGTGGTGGGGCAAAGGGTACTGTTTTATTTTTAGAATGAATTATTACTAGCATTAGTATCCCTTATTTAAGTAACATTGCAGGAATTACACATGTATTCTGTGAGGGTGAAGAAATGTTCTTCTTGGGAAGTAGCTGAATTTTGTCCAAATGTGCCTCACAAACATAGCTAATCCCCACCCAAAGGGCACAACTAGCCCATATTCTAATAATAATCTTGCAAGTAAAGGGCAGGGAAGAGATGGTTACAACTTGGCTGACAAGTGAGTGATAGATAAGAGAGCTAACCTTTGTGTTTTACAAACCAGAGATTTAAGGAAGTTCACACTAACAATTGTAGCAGCCTAATTTGATTACTGCTGGCTGGCTCAGAGAAACCCGATTTACTCCTCATACAAAAAATGGCTGGAAACCCTTTTATATTCTATGTAGAGTGTGTCTCCCCTCCCCTGCTCCATGCCCACCCCTCTTCTCTCCCACACAGTCACACACGCAAATCTTATTTAAAACTTAAGAGTTTCCACAGTAGACTGCTCAGCAGCCCCCTTGAATGTTACCTTTCCAAATAAATCTCAGTGACCCCGCAGTGAACAGATTAAGTCAAGGGGCGTGCACAGCGTTTAGGGCTTTCGCATTTTTTGGGAGACCATTGCATTCATGGGCACACATTACTCCAAAAAAAAAAAAGCCACCTAGAGTCTCCTTTCCAGACAGGCACATAGACACCGCTCTTTCCTGGCGTGGAAAAGTCCCTTTTAAAAAATGCACATTAGCACAACGGCAGTGAAATTTAATGGGCTGGTGTGGTGTTTTAGCTTAGATTAACCGGGAGGCTGAGTTTCCCTACTTCCACTGTGTTTTCCCCGGGACACTGACCTAGCCTCTAATTGTTTGGTGATAGGCATGTAAGGGGGAGGGGCGTTACTTGTTTATTGGAACAGCGCAGTTAAAAAAAATCAACCAAGGCGAACAGTTTCAAGGCTCCCCTTAGGATATATCCAAACAGGCAGCCAATCGGCGCGTACACGGCTTTTTCAGCTTGTCTCTTTTAAAGGGACAGTACCAACCAGCTTATATCACCTTTAAAGAGAAACAGACATGAAGGAATGGGCTGGAAACACCGCCTCTCCCGCCCCCCTCCTCCCAATCAAGAGTTTTTAACTTCACACTGGAGAGAGAGGCATGAATTGCAAATTCTGGCCTGTGGCTCTGTCGGTTAAGACAGGCTCCAGCCAGGCTCCTCGCCTGGGTCACGGAGCTCGAACCCTCGTCAATTTCCTCCCTCATCCTGGACTTTCAAGTTTGCCTTGTTTAAAAAGCAGGCGCCTGCCCCACGCCCCCAGTCACTTCCGATGGCTCCGGCGCTGCGCCAGGCTCCCCCCTGTCCCCGGCGTGAGGCGCTCCGAGTCCTCGCCTGCCAACGGCAGGGCAATTCGGACGCGGGGTGGCATGGTCCCCCGAGACAGCTTGGGCTGGGTGCCTAGGAGCACCCAGCGCTTCCCCACGAGGGGAAATAGCCTCAAGAAAAAAAGTGAGCAGCGAGGGGGGGGGGTGAGGCACGGGGCTACACGGGGGGTACGGGTAGACTGGGGGCAGCTGAGGGTAAAGGGATTTAAGAGCAAGGCAGGGGAGGGGTGGAAAAGGGCGGCTGGGGAGGGTGGCCGCTGGGGGTCTTGGGACTAGAGAAGGGTAGGGGAACGGGGCGTTAGGGCGAGGGAGCTAGCGGGGGTGGCTCATAGGGGTGGAACAGGGTGGAGAGGGAGGTGGGAGGTGAAAGAGGGGAAGGGTGGGGGAATTAGGGGGCAGGGCACGTGGGAGATAGGTGGGAACACTGGGAGGGAAGAGGAAGCCAGAGGGTGAGGTAGGCAGGACCAGCACACCCCCAGGCCTCCAGCAGCAGGAGAAGCCCCACACCCCATGGGGCCCTTTACAAGGCAGGCTGAAGGCGGCCGCCTCCGCCTACCGCGGAATAGCCCAGCTCTCGCATTTAGCTCCGTATTACCTTAACATGCCGCTTGGGGGCGGGCGGCCCCGCCCCCCGCCGGTCGCCGATTGGCCGGGGCGTGTATCAATTGTGGAACGTTGACGCCCGCCGCGTTCCATCCCAGGGTAGCCACGTTCGGTTGAGCTCGGAGTAGCCGTGGTGGTGGCGGCAGCCGGGGAAGGAGCTGGGGCAGGAGCGGTTCCAGGGTGATGGGGGCCAGGCTGGGGCTGGGGCTTTGACAGCTGGAGCCGGAGCGAGCCAGCGGGGAGGCAGCCAAGGCCGGGGCGAGCCAGAGCGAGGGGATCGGGGCTGGGAGACCAAGCGGCACCGAAGAGACCTAGGCAGCGGCGGCAGAGCCAGTGGCGGCTTCGCCTCCTCCTTCCTGCGGACCATGTTCGCCAAAGGCAAAGGCTCGGCGGTGCCCTCGGACGGGCAGGCTCGAGAAAAGTAAGCAGGGCTTGCGGCGCTGGGCGAGCCCCGATGTTGGAGCGGGGTTCGGGGAGCTGGAGGTTCGGATTGGGCTGGAGGTTCCGCTCTCACGGGGTCTCCCTTAGGGCATTTTTCAGACTTGGCTGCTGCTCTGTCCGGGGCGGGGGGACGGGGACGGACGGGACGACGGGGACGTGCTGCTTCCACCGCGTCCTTTTGTCTGACCCTGTCTGTCCGTCCATGCAAGTGTAAGGGGCGAGGGGCTTTGTTTGGGCACGATCACTTGCTCCCCGTCTGGCCCCCTGGCTTAGTGCTGGCTGCTGGAGTTTGTAAGCTGGGGCAGGCAGAGGAGGTTGGGGCAAAGGGACTGGAGACGAAGCATTCTGTCCGCCCGCCCCCTCCCTATATCCTTATACCCTCAGCTTTCCTCATGCACTTCCAGGGTTGAACCAACCTTTCCCCCCCTTTTGTGTGTGTGGAGTTGCTGGGGCTCTGGCTTGCCCGCGGCTGGCTCAGTGACTGGGGATGCTGGCTGCATGCTGGATTGTGCATGTGCCTTGAGAAGTAATTTTGTTTCCTGCACGAAAGTAGGGTCAACTTTTGGGGCGGGAGGGGGGGTAGAGGAAGGGCAGTTTCCATCGCTCCCACTCTGGGGGTGGTGGTGGGGCCTTTCCTGCCATAGGTTTTGGCATGCATCTCCCAGGAGAGGAGGCACTGTTTTGTCGGAGTGGGACGGTTTCATGAAGTATTTCCCAGTGTAATGGTGTCTCTCTCTTTCTGTACTTTTACAGGTTAGCTTTATACGTCTATGAATATTTGCTGCATGTAGGAGCGCAGAAATCAGCACAGACCTTTTTATCAGAGGTAAGTGTCTCTATTTATTTTTGACCCCCCCCTCCCCTGATAGCCTTTGTTTTCAGAAGCAGCCACTGTGGCCTCCATTTTGAATTTTTATCACCTTTTGCCATTTATTGCTAGTTGGCCTCAGAGCCTCCTGGCTATTTGGAGGAGCGTCCTCTCTCCTCTCGCTCCGCCTCATCTAACCGATTTGCACGCTTTCTTGTTTGTAGATCCGATGGGAAAAAAATATCACACTAGGAGAGCCTCCTGGGTTTCTACATTCATGGTGGTGGTAAGTGTGCATTCCTAGTTCCCCCTGAAAAAAATAAAAGAAAAATGTTTGATCTTAACCCGCCTGTAAGAAGAAAAAAAATAGCCTAGGTAAAAGTTTTGGCTTGATCCATGTCTCATTTGATAAATAAATGCTGTGTAGTAACAGGGTATGGTGGTGAACTGTGGCCTTTTACTAAGGGATAAAATTTTTTTTTTCCTTTGGCATGAGTAGAAACTTGTCCTTTGTTACAAGGAAGAAGGGGAGAACTTCCTGTTGGTTTCTTTCTTCTTCTCGCTGGATAGTCAGGGTATCAAAATAAATGCTTGCCTGTCCCTCTGCATCATTCTAAAGCAAGGGCAGAAAGGATCTCTTGCTTTCTTTGAGATGGTGGTTCAGGATGACTTGATCTTTTGGGGGCTCTTTTTGGGTGAGGGGAGGAGATGCCATTTTCCATTCAGTGCCGACTGGTGGAAATAACAGTTAGACAGACCCAGTAAGAGGTCTGTTTTTGTGGCTTATCTTTGGCAAAGGTGTTTTGTTGTGGCAAACTTGCAGGGCTCCTAAGTTTCTGGAGAATCTACTGTTCTGCCCTGAGAAGCAAGGGAAGACTAATTGCGTCCATGAATTACTGTCAATGGATTTCAAATGCCTTTTCATTTAAAGTTTGCAGTAGCGTTGTGAGCATGCGGCAGGTGTGTTGTTTTTTGTTTGTTTGTTGTTTTTTTAAATAAAAAACCAAACAAACATACTGGCTAGACTGAGAGAGATTTTGGTCATATTGCCAAAATTCAGGAAAACCAGGCATACACGCCTCCCAGTTTTCCAGAGCAGACACTTTGCGTTTGGGAGTGGCTGAGACTGGAGCCGCTGTGAGTTCCCCTGCAGCCAGTCATGGAGAATGTTGTATTAGCTGAGAAAACCAGTTCCTAATTGCATTTGCCAACTTAGTGCAGGATGCTTATGACATACAAAGCATATAGCGTAGACTCGTCTCGGAAGATCAGATCTGTGGTATTACTGGACCTGTGGAGGGAATTGGGTTATGTTGCATACATAGGCAGTCTAACTTCTGCCCCTGCCTGCATGTTGGGTAACATGGTTAAAGAAGAAGGGTTTGGGGAACATGGTATAGAATGAAGGCTTTTGGATCCTGCAAAACGGGTTTCTCTCTGCCTGCTGCCATATATATGCTAATACTGTCACTGGATTGCCATCCAGTCAACTTCAGGCTCTCAAGTGGCAAGATGCTGCCCTGCAATCAGTGCAGGTCAACAAGAAGTAATGAGTCAGTACCTACATGCTATGCTGAGTGGGGCTCTCTGTATCTGAGGGAGAGTAGTCTAGGGGCGCTTTGAGATGTTCTTAACTAGAAATCCTGTGCGCAGTCAACACCAAAGCGATCAAAGAGAGTTTTATGTATGGCTTCCCATGCCAAAGTGAAATTTCTGTGTTTGGGTTGTACTCATTGTGGGAATACTTCCTACATGTGAGAAGCGTTATTTCAAGGTTCAGTAGATTAACACTGGAACTTGAAGCTCCAGACTGGATTCTTGTAAAGGGTTGCTCAAAATTTTAAGTGTAGAAAGGAGGTTTGAACAAGCTGAAACAGCTGGCTACTGGAACACCTTTTGGGGGTAGGAGAGAAGAGGCATCCTGAGATGACAATGTTGATAACCTCTTAAGTTGAGGTTTTAGAAGTCCATGAATTACCTTTCTTCATTTCAGCAGATTGCCAGCTCACTGTAACTGTTACCAGGACTAATTTTGTCTCTTAAAATGTTTAAGGTGACCCAGTTTGAAATGCTTTTATTTGGAGTTGTTGCTAGAAGGTTTGAATGGAATGAAATGGGATGCATGATTCTGATGGACTTTAAATGTTCTCGACTACAGGCCAATTGAGGTGGAAAGCTGTTTACCTTTACTGAACTGTTGGCACAGTTTGTACTATGGCCCTGTACATTTGCTGTTTAGTATATAGGTAATAATTAGTAACTGGATCCTGTTTTGCTTTTTCTGCCATGCAGTGTATTTTGGGACCTTTACTGTGCAGCTCCTGAAAGGCGAGATACTTGTGAACATTCAAGTGAAGCAAAAGCCTTTCATGATTACGTGAGTAACCAATTTTTAATCCTTGTTGTAATTAGGGGGTCAGATAGCTTGATCCTCTTCAACACACCAAAAGCAAACTTAGCCAACTGGCCGTACTTTTTTTTTTTAAATCACGAGTGTTCTGACTTGGTTGAACAGTATTCCATAATGTTGCAATTATGTAAATTAGTTCAGATGTTTATCTTGAGTGCTTAAAGGTATTCCGACTATTGGTGGAATTAAGTAGTTTTGTATAACAATGGACACCAAAGCATTACTGTAGCTGTGCTTTGGGGGAGCACTACTGAGATTTCTTATGTTGAGGACATCTCCTTTACCTTTTTCTGTGCAACAAAAAGGCTGGTATGTAATCTATGGATCTGAAAAGGGGGAAATCTTCAAAGTGCAGTTTCTTTAGTGGTGGGGGGGGGGCACGGACTCTCTCCACTCATTGCAGACAAAGTGCACTTAGGGCTACTAGGAAGCTTGCGCTGGACGTCCAATAATCCTGTCTCAAAAATATCAATATAAAGGTACTTCATTTCATTAAGACTGCATTGCAGTCTTTTTCTTTAACCCGTTTTTGTTGAAGGTCCGGTTTTTAAGGGCTGTGGAGTGTCTGGAAGAGAGAAATTATTTGAAAATGATTTAGGTATTGGTTGGGAGTGAACAGGTTGGACAGGCTATATTCTGGGATTGGATGTGAAGCAGTGACTGTTTGTTCTTCAGATTTATGTCCAGGGGATCCCAGGTAAATAACAGATGTGCATAATAAGGGTATCGGCAGCTGGCTTTTTTTTTTTTTTTTCGGTAATACAGGGCAAAATGCTTTCTGAGCAACTCCATGACTAGAAGTCACAGGGCTGCTGTTGCTTGAGGCTTTGCAGCCTTCTGAAACTGTTGGTGGACATGTTAGGCTGACTGTTCTGTGTACTCCTAGGCAAACTTTGCAAATTGTCAGTCTCTGGGATGGAATTGTTCTAAAGACCCTGGCTTGCTGGCAGTGGTGATTTCAGAGTGGAAGGATTTGAAGATGCTTGATAAGAGCAGACTTTGTTCTTTTTGGATCAGGTCATATCAGCATGGCCTCCGAGGTACACCTTTAAAACTGCAGTAGCCAGATAATCTTGCTGGTGCTCTGAGTGTTTTATGAAACAATTTGGCACTTAAATCAGACTTGACTAGTGGGAATCTTCCTCTGTCATCAGTGTCACTTCTACCATGACCTCTTCCAGGGCGGAATCCAGGGTAATAAAGGGTGGAGCTGTGGAGGGGGGAAATGCTCCTGCGCAGACGAGACTGCTCAATTAAGACTCTAGCATTCACATGAACTTGAACATAAGTTGTTAGGATAGTGACCATGGAATGTGAACTGAGGAATTGATGCAAGCTTGGGCTAGGTTGCTACAGGAAAATGTCAGTGAGCTTCATTTTACTATCAGCAACAGCAGCCCTCTTCTTCCTGTCCAGCTCAGTATCTTCAGGAGAAAATGGTACAGAACCTTTTCCTTTCCTGTTGTTACTGCCGTGAACCTGCCTGTGCATCTGCCAGTCTCCTTTAGAACATATGTAAGGTTTTGTCCTGTAAATATGACGCAGTGGATGAGTTCCAGACCACACTAAAGACCTCCCAACTGCTCCATCCGTTGCCTGGTGAGGCATTTGTTGCTGGGGTGGCAAAGCATGAAAGCTCATGGGATATAAATAGTGAAGTGCTGTTTGAAAATATTTGCTGTGAATGTGTTAAAGGTGGTGTTTCCATCAAGCTAGCACATGTTTTCAGAACTGGTTAAAAAATAAATGTCTCAATAGTGGTTCAGGATGCAGAAGTAGAATTCCCCCTTGATATAAGCCAATCGGGAATTGCTGAGCTGTCCCCTAGAGAAATACAAGGGGAAACCGGCAGAAATTGCTCTGATTTCCTTGGGTCTGTGTGTTCTACTGTGATTTTTCCTCTCTTCCTTGGAATTTTGTTTTGTGACTTGCTGACCATTGGTGAATACTCTTGTATCACATGTGCCATTCCGTATGCACTGCAGATTTCAGAATATTTCAAATGATGTGGCAAGGTCCTTCATGTATTGTTTTTTAGATAGATTGAATTAAAAGCTTAGACTTCATAATCAAGAGTATGAGATACAAAGTGACTGACTACTTGCCAGCAGACCTTTCATATTAAGGCTAACTTTGATAACTCAAGTTCCTGAAAACTCTGCTGGAGATTGCAGCTGTGTCCTAGTGGACAGTTATTCTTGAAGCATCTCTTCTGTAATTTTCAGTTTCCTGAATGTGTTAAGACTCCATGATTGGCACAGCAGGCCAGATTTTTTTTGGGGTGGGTCTTATATGCACAACAAAAGGTGTGCTTGATTGTATTCACAGCCAAGATATAGCAATGCTAGCAGCAGCCTTACAATAGTGTCTGAGGATTTAGTGTATTTAGAGAAATTAATCTTTTTTAGCTTGGTAATAATTCTAACAATAGGCATGAGTGCATTAGAGTCACAGACTTCTTTAATACATGTTGCTTTAAGCTTACAGCAAATAGACACAATCCTGATTGTTGTTTGATTCTCAGTGTAATACAGTTTCATAACAGCCCTAATACTTTACCTTTTTAGTTTTATTATGAAGACTCATAAGAAGATTTGCTTTCTCCCCATTCCTCTCCCTTCTTAGTTACAGTTTTATTCTCATCATCCTCTCATTGGCCTTAAAGTGGTTGATTACGTTTCTGCTTCACGTTGTTGCTTACTGCAGATGCTTAAGGGTTTTTTCCTCAAGAATCAATGTTTTCACAGCAGGAGAATGTAGTGTACTTTACAGGGTGAGGAAACTACCTGTATAAAACTTAAATATTGACCAAAGAAAGAGAGCAAACGATAACCTTTTTATGTGAATAGGAACCCATTTCTCCGAGAGACAGGTACATGGCCCATGGCTCTTGTGTGAGTGCTCTGAAAATGCAGAGAGACATAGCACGTTCATGGGGCAGTGATGCTAGATTCTCCTTCAATGGCAACACCAAAGCGGTCTCTTGTTGACGCACTAGTCTTTTCCATTGGGAGTTCTGTTGTAGGGTGGTGTTCGTGCCAGTCTTTGTTTATGTAATATGTGGAAGGATGAGGAGGCAGAGGATATTCTTGTTTGGGGAGGTGGAGTCGGGGGAAAATTTATCCCCTCAGGGTTACTAAGGAGCGCCGAAGTCTAAATGGAGGCTCTTGTCACCTTCTGAACTTCCTCTTAAATTACTGTTCCAAAGCAGAACATCTGTTGCTGAAGCTGAAAGGAGTGTTGAAAATGTGTGAAGAACTGCCTGCAAATCTTGCATGACCTAAAGTTATGGGGCTGCTCAGTGGTTTGAACCAGGGTTTGATTCCTTATCCCTTGCTCATTGAGTGTGAAGGGGCTGGCAGTACTGTTCCTGTGCGGTTTGCAAATCGTGAACAGAGTGGCCAGATAACTAATAGTGTGTGTTGGATGTGGTAAAAATAACCCATTATACAGCATGTCACAGATTTGTAGAACATTGTTTAATCATCACCAATTACAGAACTTGGTTTTTGGAGGTTGCACATGTCTGCAATGCATAAAACGACATTTATTTACCAATAGACTTTGCAGTTGCTCCGATATACATTTGTGGACTACTCTCAACTTTCACCTTTGTGTAAATGGAGCACTGTAAAATAATCAGCTCTAGATGTTTTGGTCTTAAAACCGCTCGTGCCTGGTGCCTAGCACAGAAATCATACACCAGTTTGAAATACACTTTAAACTTGGAAAGTTTCCCTTCCATGCTGCTTTCCCATTGTTTACCTTGGAGGTGTGGTCATTGGGCCACATGAAGAGGCACATCTCTCAAGATCAGCTGGCTTAGGGAACACACGCTTTGGAGTAAGAGCAGCAGCATGCTTCATTAGCAGAGCGTTAAGTGTGGTATTTGCATGCTGTGTAATTTCCATTTCACTTCCCAATATAACCTTATGAAAACTAATAGTAGCAGCAGGAGAAATTACCAATTTCCCCCATCACATTTTAATATTTAAATAAAAATCACTCTTTCACTTCAGTCTCTCACGACTTTTCATGACGTCTTGATTAACCCAGGTCCTCACCTGGTTAGGAAATGCCGTTTCCACAGAGTTTGAGCTCTTAGCTTAGTTTGAAAGATGCTGTGCTTTGGATGAGATGCTGTGCCATAATACCTGGTAGTGGGAGCGTAATGTATAAGAGCAGGATTGTGTTAGGGGTCATTATTCTATCCAGACCAAGCCAAACACTGTAGCTTTCCAGTGTGTGTGAAAAGCCAACACTCCTCAATAAATTATTCTTGTCTGTAGCTTTGCTATAGCCAGCCTATTCCACAACATCTACAGAAACAGTTTATCCAATAGTAAAAAGCATTAAAAATTATGTTCATTTTAAGCTGCATACGTTGATTTCCAGTGGACTCTTCTAATTTGACCTTGTCTGAACTTTGTACGCAATCCTTATCAATTAATGTACTTTATTTTTTGGATCTTGCGTGCAGTGGGAATCTGGTCGAATTGGATACGTTTTATTCTCTGCTTCATTTTGGGGTTGTGAAAACATCAAAAGGGAGTGTGAGGGAGAAATATCCAAAATCTGTCTCCAGTTTCAGTATTTTTGTGTGCGTTTCCAATAGAAAATGTTATATTCTCTCTGGAGGTTACTGTTATTGGCACGGCTGCCTTTATCTTGCTTCTAGGCAAAGCCCCTCTGTAAGCACACTCATATTACAGTGTGCGCTGTGTTGCCAGACACTCTTGTTGCAGGTTTCATTGTGCATCTTCTGAGCCGGTGAGCTACAAAGGGATTGTACAGCATGACAGGGAATTTCAACCACCACGTTATCTCAGAATTGGCCGATTGATGGTTGCAGTTCAGCATTTCAACATTGTGAAAGCCAATACAATTTGAGTTAGCTGTGATGACTGCCAGTTTAAATACCGCAGTGAATTTCCGTCAAATAGCTAATACATAGAATGGGGAATTGC